GGGCTGTGTTGAACAGGAAAGACAGAAACATTTTGGGTGCAGATAAGATCTGACAGTCAGTCACTATCTAGAACAGAACATAATGCTGTGCAGTTATCTTCTGAAGAGTTATTTAAAACCCTGGAACATGGAGAATTTAGCTGTGGATGGAACAGTTGTTATAAGAGATTCTTCTGTAGTTCCCAATATGTGAAGTTCTATTCACATCTTTAAGAGGAAAGACAGAAACATTTTGGGTGCAGATAAGATCTGACAGTCAGTCACTATCTAGAACAGAACATAATGCTGTGCAGTTATCTTCTGAAGAGTTATTTAAAACCCTGGAACATGGAGAATTTAGCTGTGGATGGAACAGTTGTTATAAGAGATTCTTCTGTAGTTCCCAATATGTGAAGTTCTATTCACATCTTTAAGCTGTCCTGTACCTTGATGAAGTGTTTTTTCTCCCCAAGGGGCAGAGGCTGCAGTTTCCTTTCTGCCCAGGGAAAGCAGGGAGAGGGTAATGTGCCTGGACCACCTTACCTGTCACTCATGCTAATGGCAATAATCTTGGGTAAGCCGTGAGCGCTGAGGAGGAGCCGCGCGTTGTGCGAACTGCTCTGGGTCAGGTTGTACAAGGTGTAGCAGGTGGATGCTGTGGTTTCACAGACAATGTCAGACCCTGGGACAGACTCAGGAAGCACTGAGATCAAATCAGGCAAAACTTCTCTAGCTACAAATTGGAAGAGAGACAAGCAATTTTATTACTAGCAGGTGCAGATTTATCTAGAAGTCCTTCCTTCATCCCACTCTCGCCCATCAGGGTGCTGTGTGCTCCCACAACACAGTCATGGTTCCATTCCTGCACTTCATCCCCACAATTTAGGTTAAGCTGCAGCATCCACACTAAATCAGACACTATGTAATTTACCTCATACACAACACATTAACTCTTCGTGTGCTGCAGCGAGGTCACTATGTGCCAGCAGCAGGCTGCCATCTGCCAGGGAACCCTGTAGCAAACTGAGAAAGGGTCACTGCAGCACAACTTTCTGAACCAGTGTGCAAGATATTTCTGTAAGACTGACATCACATTCTGAAGTCCATCCCTACTCAAGAAACACCTCATCACTTTGAGCACACTGTTCATTCCTCCAGATGGGTGTGTGACAAGGTTCATGCATCAGTCAAAGCAATTACGTAAAGACATGGATAGTCCATTTTTAATTCCACTAGTAAATCAAGAAAGGTGGCTTTCAGAAAGCACATCTGGCATATCTGGAAAATGTCAGTTCAGAACAAAGGAAATTTTCTGCATCCTTGTAATCATTTTACTTTTAGAGGTTTTATATTAAATTTATCTCAATTTGATATCAAGGGTTAATTTTGCTTGATAAATTTAGACATTTATCTCTAGAAAACAGTATGCCCTTCCAAATGTTTTCCATTGGCCAAAATTTTTTTTTGAGAATTTGACCTGAATCCACACATGCTTCTGGTCAATCAAAAAGAACACCTTTTCACAGGGAAAAGGTTCACCTGAAATTACCCCAGCTCACTCCTCCATGGGTTAAGCAAGAAAATGACTGTGAATGTGCAAGATGGAATACCCTTCTCCAAAGCTTTGTGCCA